CGATCAATGCTGGCAGACCCCATAATCATGTTTCTCAGAAATTCTGTATATGGGACGCTGGACCCGCTTTCCAGCAGGTGATGCTCCCCACCAATAGATGGGGCCTCCCCCTAGGTGCTAGTGGTGACTGCTTGTATTGTGACGCCCAACCTCATGCCCAGCGCGACTTCCTGCTTTCGGAGTGTTGGTGGGCCTGGAAGTGCGAAAAGGGGTGTGCCAAGGATTTTGGGAAAGTGGGGGTAGAGTTCCAGGTCAGAACTATAATCTCCTGTGTCAAGTTCCAGGCATAGACGTGCAAGCGTCTCTTTCAGCTCAGAGTTGGGGTGATGGACGATCTCGCGGCCTGATCCGCGTATGGTGTTCGGGTGGGGCGCCGCGGGCGTCCCAGTGGGAATGCTCGTACCACTGTCGGTCGACGCAGGTCTCCGAGGCGGAGGAGGATGAGTTGTGCTCACGTTGTTCCGTTTCGGGACGGGTTCGTCGAGTGATCCCCGTCGGACAGTGCCCGTCGCGCTGCTGACACTCTGAGCACGACCGTCAGGGCCAGAACTGGGTTATGGACTCCCAGGGGACGACAAGTAGTTGGTGATACGGGAGGACGACGTAATAGGGAGGGAAACTAGTGGTGATGGCCATGAAGCCTGGGGGTAGAAGGTAATGCTGGCTTCGGCTATCGGGATAATCCGGGATCCGCGAGTCTCGACTAATGGCCAACTGGAAATCGCCTCTGCACAGTTGCTCGTTTCCAGTTCGGCAGGGGTACTCAGGATTCCGTGAGTTTCGTTGCCGTCTGGCTTGTTGCCGTCTGACTTGTTCCCTTTCCCAATACGTTCGGTATTCCGGATCTCTCAGGCTCTCACGGTCAGTAATCCAAAAGGGAGTTTCGATCGCCATATCCTATTTAGCGAAATTCGTTGCAGGCATCTTCGACCAGTGGGATCGGGTCGGCTCTTGCACACGCATGCATAAGCTGCAGGTCACCTCTGTGAGCGGCTGCCTGACGCATGCGTGTGCATGCGCCGGTCGATCGGATCAAAGACCGCGTGTGAGTGGGTTACCGATGATTTACTTGCGTGTTGGTTTGTCCTATACGCTTGCAGACCTTCCATGCAACTGTTATCCAAATCTCAGACGGAACCAATCAGTACATTCATGCTCACACCAAAAAGAGGGCAGAGTTAGTTTTGGGCATCCAAAAACCAGTGCACCCTGACTCAAAACAAGTGGTTGGACAGAAGATTGGAGATTGGAGGCAACAAAAAGGAAAAAGAGGCGCGCGTTCATTCATCCCTATGCATACATACACCCAAAGCAGATAGTCCGAGATGATTTACACAAGAAATCTGAAAGTGTGGCAACAACATCGACCAACGTTGGAATCAAAACTTTACATAGAAGGTAGGGAGAAGAAGACACTGTTCCACCATATCCCCGTCTCGCTCTCTCTCTCACTCTCTCTCTTTCTTCTCTCAATGCGGGCAGTCTGTGACTGTTCGTCGCCCCGCATCTCCCCAGCCACACAGAATCGTCACCCCGCTTGGCCTGAGTGTGCAACCCAGGTTCGCCCACGCGCCGCAGTCCGTCGCGACCATGCGTCAACCCCGCGCACTCAGCACCAGCTCGTCGGATCGCCCAACTCTCATGCTTACTCACCTTCCAAAACTTGCTCGTGAGCCGACCCTCACTGATCGCGCTAACCTCAAGGTTCTTAGAGAGGGAACTAATCGCGCTTGCAAAATTTATAGCGTGCATGCTTGCGCGAGGGATACAGGATTAGCACCAAGTGATGAGAAAGAGAAAAGAGGGAGTGCCTATGTCTGCATGTTCAGGCCGCGGCGCAGGGGACGACGCCGCTCTCCGCGCATCGATCCGGGCATGCAACCGTGGGAACCACTTAGAACAGAGGAAGAGCGTGTATGCGAAGACAAGACGGGAAAGAAAAAAAATACGAAAGCTATCAAGAACAAGAAGATTACAGTTGTGATTGCGCCCGCCAAAAACTACCAGTTACACACAGGATTAAAGCACGGACGGAATCAGAGCCCATACCCTGTCGGGGCACGATGCGTGCGAGCAAGAAGCGTCGTGCCGCCAAATTACAAGGTGCCTAAATTCCTAGTCTAAATTCTAATTGCAAGAGAAAATTCCAAAAACAATTCCGAGAGCTTGCAGGGGCTCGACATTAGTTCGAATTTCAAAATCGAAAACTCTCGCACACTAATCGCGCCAAAATTCCTAGTGCGCATAGCAGAACAAGAAAGAAGCTATGGCAACCGTCATTTCTTGCGCTTGCTAGGGCGCGGTCACTTTCCCAGCACCGGCCCGACGAACTCCAACGAAAACGAAAAAGAAGTGAGGGCATCCAGGCAACTTGCCCCACCGATCCTGTTTGCGCCCCGTCACCCATCAAGGCCCTCCTGTTTCCCCTCAACAGCCTCGCGCAGGAAGTCGCGCGTTTACAGAAGATAGTTTGTCACAGTATCAGCAGCACTAGCACTGGCAGGGGTGGTGGTGTTTAAAAAAAAAAAAAAAAAAAAAAAAAAGAAGCCCTCCGTAGCAGTCACCGGCTTTCCCGCATGTCGTTTCCCAGTGGGTAGGGGACAGCTGTTGCTCCATCCTCCACAGTCTGTCCGGGCGGGCCACAGATTTGACTTTGAACCAAGCACCTGGAAGGTAACATTGGTGCTGCACCATGTAGACCAAATCGGCAGGTAGTGCCTGCAATATACTACATAGATTCTGTCCCCAGTTCCGCAGTCCATGTAGCAAGTTCTGCAGTGGCCGCGTTGACTTCCATGTACTGGTATTCTCATCCATAATTGTGAGAGGGTCGCTACACCTCTTGACATCGACGAGTGTCCAAAGGCACCCACCAGGTCCCAAGAGTGGGACAGGCTGGCCATCAGGTTGAAGTATATACAGGTTGTTAAACCACAAGTACTACGGCTCCAGCCTTGCAGTCCGAAACTTGTCGTCACAAGAAAATGAGGCAGAAACGTCAAACGCTGGGCCCTCCGTTGATAAATTCGATTGGCCGGCCCCGTTTTCGTTTCACGCCTCGAGAATTTGAGGTGTCAGACCCGCGGCGCAGGTGCCCATGTACTGGTGGTTTAAACACGAGCTGAGCCAAGATAGCGTTATTTTTTAGAACGAGATCATTCTGGTTACTGTGGATATCTAGAAGGGATAGAATATGTTATTATTTTTGCAGAAGAAATCCTGCCGTAAGGCACTCTTTTCACTTTTTAAACCACCCGTACTTCCTAAAGCTGTGCCCGTTAACAAGCCACGATTTTAGGAAAGTACGTACAGACCACTACAGGAGTGCCCAAATTCAAATTCATCCGACTAGAAACGTTTCTACTCTATTTTTTTCCACGGCCGATAGCTGGGCCAAGTACTGGTGGTTTAAACAAGCTATTAGGACGGATATTATGGCTGATTGGGTTAAACATAGAAAAAGAATAGACCAGGCAGATTCCAACCCACTGTGGTTGCCGTGGGAGGAGTGCTCAGAACTGGAAAGCTTGATACTATTCCGGCCAGGCTGAAGCGGACTGCTGCCGGGGGAGGTTGGACCCGGTAGGAATCTGGCCTCTACGACAACCTGGACAAAAAGAAAAAAGAAAAAGAAAGGGAGAAAATAGCAAAAAAAAGAATAGACCAGGCAGCAGATGCCAAACAGTCCTTCCTATCGAAGTGGTCTTCGTTTTAAAAGTGGGTCTACTTAGTGGGAAAGGACAAGATAGAATATTCAGTTACTGTGGGACCAACGCCGCTCAGTCCTTGCAATTTCAGGGGAGCACTGGCAGCCTATAGGCTGAGAGGGACTGAAAAGGGGGGGGCATAAGGGCCTAAAAGACACTCTAGCTACTATGGATGTACCTACTTTAACGTTTTTGAGAACTGTTATAACACGCTGGACCCGTTTTCGAGCAGGTGCAGCTCCCCACCAATACATTGGAGTCTTCCACCCAGAATCCTTGATCCTGATGATTCTCTTACCGCCACAGGATCCTCCGATTCCAAGGGAAAAAAAAAAAAAAAAAAAAAAACCTGGTGGTGGGACTTGACTGTAGGACTGTTTATACAAAGCTGTGGACATGATTGCAGTCACATACGTCCAGGTCTGGCCGTAGTTGAATGTGAGGGCATGTTCACACGAGCACTTTTTGAGCTATTTCTGGACGGAATTGTGCCCAGATGCATACAGGTCTTGCCCAAAAGACGGAGAAAGGTATCGTGTGTGCATCTTTCCAGCCACAAGACAGGGTCGTCATTCCTTTTGGCGGTGATTACTGTTTGTATTGCACCAGCCCTGCATGCATATGGCAGGGGCGATGCATCTGGCACATTCAATGCATCAGGCACATGCAGTGCATCCCTCAATGCCGTGCATCCGGCACATGTAGTGCGTGTCAGCCACATGGGATTCGTGCATCGCGCCCATGCGATGCATCTGGCACATGCAATGCACCTGGAAGATACCATGAATCGTGTGTGCTGTCAAGCCAGATGCATCGTCCTCAGGATGACAGCAACCTCAGCGACAACTGGGCCCCTTTGCATTGTAAAAAAAAAAAAAAAAAAGAAATGAAACAAACCAAANNNNCCTCAGAGAAAGGCCAGAGTATCAAATCTTTTTTTTTTTTTTTTTTTTTAAATAACTGCCCGGGTGACTTCTGCACAGTTCCCAATTCGCAGGAATAACAGTGCACTGCGGTTCTCGGCCGAGGGCAGTCAGAAACTGCAAAAACAGAAAGAACAGCTTTGTACCCAAGAGCCTAGCTCAGTGGGTACACCCATGAACTGTTGAAATACAGACCTGTGTTCGAATCCAGATAATGGAACTTGACGAGTAAAACCAAACTGGGGACTTGAACCGTCCACGTACGAGGTAGCCTGCAGGGTCATCCGTAGGGGCGGTAGGCAGAAACCGGGACAAGGGGGTTTCGGGGCCGCGCCGCCGTAACGCAGCGCAAAGTCCGGAGCCGGAAACGGCACGGTAACTTCTGCGCCGCAAGGTACAGCGCCATCGCGGCTCGGTGGTTTCTCCATCCTTCTCTCGGGGTAACTTCCGATGGGAGGGAAGGAGAAAGCCTATCTCACCATAGCTGGTCTGGGTGCGTGCCTACGGCGAAATACCGTAGGACAGGTTGGCACCCCGTTTACCCTGCCTCCCTTGACGGTTCTCCCATGGTTTCTGCGTCTTGAGTTCTCCCGGCGGTCTTTGAGGAGTATTAGCCGGATTGTTACCCACGCGCTCAGGGCAGTAACATCCGCCAGATCGAAGAATTCACCCAAGCGGAAGGCGCTACAGATAAAGGTATCACTTTCTGCTCACTGGTTTGATTGGGGGGGGATCTTGAAATTCTGTACAGTACTGTCCCAGCTAGTTCGATGCCTGGACTGCCCCGCTTGTTGTTAGATCCGTCGTCTTGATAGGATAGGTGTTACCTCCCTGGTGACTTTCCTTTTACTTCTGATGCCACGGCGGCCACGAGTATGGGGGAGCCTCGGAGGGCGGTCCCGCTGTCCGTAGAAGACAAGGCTCGGGTCCGCTCCCTGATCTCGCAATGTTACACGGAGGGGGTTCTCCCGAAGGAACTCGCCCCGAACACTATAGTTACCGGGGACGACTACGTACGCGTAATCGTCAACCCCAAAGTCTATAATATTCAGGCCGCGTGGCTCCGGGAGCACGCCGTCTCAATCGTCTTCGGGGACGATTCGACATCTCTGCCCATAGGAGTGAAGAAACGCCTTGTTCGCATCTACGAAAACGGATGGGCGTCGTCCGGAGAAATTTCCTCCCCTCCTAAACGAGGTTTGTTCCACAATGAGGGGAAAAACCTGATTACGTATGTCGCCTCATCGAAGGAAATCGCATCGTGGATGCGGAGAATGGCGCATACCGAGATCGAGTTAGGTAAGAAAAAATACTCTTTAGCTTTCGAACCGTGGATGTGCGAGCAAGAACTATGGGAGTGGAGAGAGGTATCGAGGTACTCTTTTTTCTAGATCAGGTGTCTCCAAGTTCCCATCGGTGCTCTCCCCCACCTATCGAAGGCTGTGTCGGACGCATTTGGTCCGATTCTCAAAGAGTTCCCTGCTTTTAATGACAAGCTCTGTCCGGATCTTATCAATATTCGGTTCGATCTGGAATCTGCGGCCCGCCTCAAATACAAACGATATCTGATTGTAGACCTAGGTCGATTTGGGTATGTCGAGATCGAAGTCATCTGCGCTGAAACACCCTGGTGCCCAAGTTGTCGCAGGTACTTCCACTCGGAAGGTGATCCCGAGTGTCAAGCATTGAAGAAGAAGACTTTCTCGCAGGTTCTTAAGCAGGGTGGTCGGCCGCAACCCAAGGACAAGGGAGGCGATGGGGGGAAGGGAGGTGATGGAGGGAAGGGGGGAGGATCCAAGGGAGCAGACGGAGGGGGGGGCGGGAGGGTTGGTAACAAGGCGAGCAAGGAAGACGGGAAGGAAAAGGGTAAGGATGGAAAGCCGGGAGGAAGTGACGAAGGGTCCGGCAATAGGCCAGGCGGCGAGAAAGGGCCGGCGGTGGTCAAGGATGGCGGGAAGGATCGGGATGTGGTGATGAAGGAGGGGGATGATAGGAATAAGGAGATGGAAAAGAGGGAGAAGGCGCCTGTTGGGGAGAAGGAAGGAGGGAAAGAGGTTAGTAGGGAAGAGGACATAGCCAAGGGGAAGCGGCCGGAGGGGCGATTAGGAGGGAAAGATGCGGGAAACGATGCTGGTTTGCTAGATTTAGGTAATAATTCTAAAACTCAGGATCGGCAGGTTAAAGAGAATGACTTGTCTGTAAAGTATGCTCAGTTAGACAAAGGGGAAGAAATCACTGACATGGATGAAGACAAGCAGTTGGCGAGGGAAAAAAGGAAAAGAGATGACCCTCAACACGATGAGGAGTTAGACCCATTCTCGGATGATGAAGTTCTGGAAGCAAGCAAAGCGCTGGTTATTTACAAGTGCGAAAAGGACCCATTTTTCTGCCCTTCCCGCCCCTCCTCCTCTCCCAGCCCTGACTCGTGTAATGATGTGGACGACGACGATGACGTAGGATACGTCAGTTCGGACAAAGAGGAAGGAGAAGAGGGGGAGGGGGAGGAGGGCGCTGGGTTTTCTATCCTGTATGGTGCAGGCTCCCCGGCAGTGGATCGGAGAGAGCCGAATGTGAAAACTTTCCTTAACCAGGTGTATGAAGAAGAAGGAGAGGGGGGCCCCCCGGTCCAGTTGAAAGAGCAGGAGGTGCCTTCCCCGTGGAGCAGGATTTCTCCCTGCTCCTCGGTGGAGATATACGAGGACTGCTATGACGGCAAGACGGACGGGGGGACTTCGGGTGATTTGTATGAAAGGCCTGGTCCGCCTACGGATCAGAAACCATCCTCCCCCGGTTTAGATTCGTTCCTCTCCCCAGCTAAGAAAGCGAAACCCGCGACTCGCAAGGAAACAAAAGCAACAAGGAGAGCCAGGGTGGGCAAGGGCTCGGTGCTGAAGGGAGGGAATACTCAGTCGGCCGGACTGAGCAATCTCGCTCTTTCCCACGCCCTGCCCATGCAAACGGTCTCCAAAGTAGCCGGATCGAGGGACAAACTCACGAAGGTTGCTGTACCCATAATTTGCTCACATTCCCCCGATGGTATAATGTTCCTCACGACAATTGCCCATGATGATTGCTTGGCCCTTCCCTCCTTCTCCGCGTCTGGTCCCCCAGCGGATGCAGAATTGACAAGGTGGGTGGACCGACAGACGCTGCACGATCAAGGATCTAGCAAGCCAATACGTAAGCCTAAGAGGACCAGGCTCTTGGAAGCCAATTCTCAAGGCTCTACTTTTGCGATCCACGTTTCATTCATGGCTCTGCAAGCTGATCCCCTGCAATTGGCCAATCTGCGCAAGCTTAAGGTTCATTGGTTACCTCTCTCCCACCTTTTGGATGTCGAGATAGACACTCTCAAGGATATAGCCATAGTGGACGAAATCTCAGTGGTTTCCATCGCCCAATGGATTACTCAGTCGGATACCGCTGATTACCTGACAAGTCCCACCTTCGCGGACATCCTCAGCAAGAAGCAATCCCCGCCCAAGCAGAACTTGAAGATGAGCGTGGGAATTGATACCAAGTGAACCATCCTCCAAGCTCCGAAATAGCACTTCCTCCCGCATCCAATACCCACGCAGCAAGGGCCCTGGAAATGGCCTTGCCCAGAAGGATTAGGATAGCAGCGTGGAATGTAAGAGGATTAGGGGACACAGCTAAAAAATGCAAAAGATCCAGATTCCTTAGATGGTGCCACACCCAGAATGTACAAATCCTGTGTCTGCAGGAAACTAAACTGAACTCAGACAAACTGTATTCTATGTCTCACTGGTGGAAGGGGCCACAGGTGTGGGCCCCAATGGTAGGCTCTAGAGGAGGGGTGGCGGTCTTAATTAACAAGGATCTGGAGTGCTCAGTGATCGATCAGTACCATGACCCAGACGGAAGATGGGCATGGGTCAAGCTAGTTATAGATAGGGAGGAATGGGCTATTATGCCCATATATGCCCCAATGATTTATTCAGAGAGACTAGACTTCCTTGCAGATCTCCCGGCCTGTTTACCGGACTCTGAAAACTTAATTCTAGCAGGTGACTGGAACACTATGTTTAATCCAGGATTAGACTCCCTGAAAGTCTCGCGGATCAGGCAGGACACGCTGATCCTCTCAGAATTTATGAACTCTCAATCCCTGGTAGATGCTTTCCGCACTCTTAACCCAGACTTTGGTGGCTTCACGTGGTACGGGCCACGTCCGGCGAACCACACCCCCGTCCCTAGAAAGAGGCTCGATTTCTTCCTAGTAAGGGGTACGCCATGGGATCGCTGTATGGCTTGTGACAACTTGATAGCCTCCCTCTCGGACCATTTACCGGTAGTTATAGACATCTTGTCTAGAGAGACTATAGAGCAGCATAAGCCGCCGTTTAGACTGAATGTTAATTTGCTGCAAGATGAGGGCATTGCCCGCTGGGTGACTGCCCACATGGGAAAATGGGGCCAGGCTAAAGATCTATTTCGGGATTTCAATGACTGGGCAGATTCAGGTATTGGGATAGTGAGAGCAGCGCTCATGGAATTTTCCAGAATGAAAGCTGCCAACAGGAAGTGGGAAGAACAGCCCCTCATCAAAGAAATTAGAGATGCAGAAAACCAGATGGGGGGAAATCCATTTACAGATTTCTACTGGACTGAGAGGCGGAAAGCGGCATTAGCTAAATTGGAAACCTTGCAAGTCCGCAAGCAAGGGGAATGGCTAGAATGGCTTCGTTTGAGGGGAATAATTGGATACGATAAAATGACTAAACTTACCTTCAGATCCCTCATTCTCAGACAAGCGAAACCGATGATGCGTGAACTGGCACACCCCTTTGCGCTTAATGCCCCAGTAGCGGAGGACACAGTTAACATGTGTGCCTATGCCCTGGAGTATTTTAGGGACATAGTCACTACTAGAAGACCCTACGACCAGGTAGAGGGAACCCTCTCAGAGTTCTCCAACTTCTAGGATATCCCGTTGGCAACCATAACTCCCAGCGCCAAGGCGGATCTGGACCTACCTATCTCAGAAAACGAACTGCTGTTAGCTGCACGCTAAATGGCGAAGGGCAAGTGCCCAGGTCTTGATGGAATCCCAATTGAGCTTTTCCTAGCTTCGTGGTCGGCTGTGGCCCCATTCTGTGTGAGATCTACAACAGGGCCCTCAGTTCCGGTAGTTTCCCCAAAAACTTCACCAAGGGCATGATCTCCCTCCTGTATAAGAAGGGAGATAAGAGGGAAATCCGGAACTGGAGACCTATCTCAGTTCTTAATGTCACCTACAAGCTGTTTGCCAAAACCCTCTCGTTAAGGCTAGCTAAACATCTACCTGACCTTGTTGGGTGGGAACAGGGTGCCTTCATTAAAGGCAGGTCCATCTTTGATAACATAATAGCGACTGTACAGGCTCTGGACATTATAGGCAAGGAAAATAGGGAGGTTGCAGTGCTCATGTTAGATATGGAGAAGGCCTATGACAAGGTTGGGTGGAGTTTTGTGTGTCTACCACACTAAGAAGGATGGGTTTTGGCGATGGGTTCTGCAAATGGATTGAAGCATGTTTTTCTGAATCCTCTTCGGTGGTAATCATCAACGGTAGACTGTCGGATTGCTTTTCCCTTACCCGTTCTTTGAGGCAGGGGTGCCCTCTAGCCCCCCTCTTCTTTGTAATTCAACTAGAAGTACTTCAGAACAACATCAGGAACAATCAGAAAATTAGAGGTCTGCGTATCTCCCCCTCCCTTCAGTGGAAGGGCGGGGCGTTAGCGGATGACCTGACGGTCGCATGCGAGAACTCAGTAGAGTCCCTAGGGGCCCTCAAATCGGTCATAGATAATTACTGCTCACTGTCAGAGGCATCGATTAACTGGGACAAGTCTGTATATTTTCTACCCCCCTCTCAGAGCCTGTGTGTAGACTGGGGATTGAAACAAATTCCGGCTAACTAAGCAGATCGATTTCTTGGCATACAGGTTTCCCTGTTTGATTGCTTGTCTGTACAGGATGGTTTACTAGCAGAGAAGGTGACCGCTAGGATTACAGGATGGAATCGGAATCACAACCTATCTCTGTTTGGCCGAGCTCTGGTCCTATCAGCTGCGGCCTTTTCACAGCTTTGGTTCCCCCTCTCAGTCCACAGGCTGGGGGAAGGGAGCCTACAAGAAGATTCAAAAGGCGGCGGCTCGTTACCTTTGGAAGCCAAGCGCCGACGAACAGCAAGGGTTCTTGTCGAAGGTGGCGTGGGAGACGGTAGCATCCTCAAGAGATAACGGTGGTCTGGGACTCCTGGACCCCATCCAGCAGAATCTGGCTCTCCTATGCAAGTGGGTGGTTGCGGCTGTCTGGGGTAACAGACAAAAACCGTGGGTGAGCATTGCGGAGTATGTTTTGTCACAGGAATGGAACCTCTCCAGGCCGCAGGACGTTTGGCTGTGCATGGTTATTCATTCCTTTGTTCATCGCCGCCCCAAATCCAGGTTCTGGAGGAACGTCCTGTGGCACAAACTCTTTCCTAAAGAAAGAGTTCAGCCGTCCACCAAACAGGAGGTTCTTCACCAGATGCTGTTTGAGAATCCCCTCATTGTGCTGGAGGACGGGTCCCCCTTCCTAGCGGATGGTAGCGTGGGCAGCTTTGGAAAAAGCTGGGTAGGAAAAGGGATTATACAAGTCAAGGATCTGTGGGATGCGGAGTCAGGGGCGTGGGTTCAGACATCCAGCCTGAGATCCACTCTCCCGCGCGTCCACAGATTGGAAGACAACTTTAACAGACTCGTCGCAGCTATCCCGCTCTTTTGGCTTGGGCTGCTAAAAAGTCAGACTGAGGCCCCGGCTGGTTCCTGGCTGCAAAACCCGGACGTCCCAGACTAGTTCTTCAGAGTCTTAGGCCCGGATTTGGTCCAAGGTGTTAAGCTCCAAATTTGGGACCTGAGGCCGGATCGGAAGGGTGGTATGGTCCTGAAACATGCAGGGGTAAGGACCCTATCAGACACAGGCGGCTTCCTGGAAAGCAGGGTGTGGGCTCCGGATCCCTCCCTGCGTTCCAACTGCCAGCTTTTGTATGAGGACGCCTCAGTAGTCACAGTTGAGCCAGCTCTATTCGGTTGGCCGGATCTGACGTCCCCCTCCTCGTTCTCTCCAGCTTTTCTATATAAACCTAAGTGGGGGGTTTCGGTGCTGAGAGCTAAAACAAAGAGACCTGCTATGGTAGTAGCTTCAGCGAGAATGGCGAAGGAAGCCGGGTTCCAACTCGGTTTGACAGACTTATTTAAGCTATGGAGAGCTCTGAAACAGATTCCTTCTCAGAGACAGGCCAGTCTGATGTGGCTCCAATCGCTGCTATCCACAGCTTCCGCCACCTGGCTTCAGTCCAGAGGCATGGAACTTTCAACTGTGTGCGCCCGTTGCCGATGGGGGTGGGAAACAGCCAATCATCTTTGGCTGTACTGTCCTATGTCACACAAAGTATGGGCCTGGTGGAAGTATCACTGGGACCAAATGTCCAATGGAGAATTCAGATGGTCCCACGAATGGACCCTGTATGGTGATTGCCCCCCCAATCAGGATCTGGACTCTGGCTGGGGATATGTTGCCCTCGTCTGCAGGGGTGCCATCCTGGAAGCCATCTGGTTGTCCAGAAATGAGGCGGTTTTCCAGGGAAATCAGAGCTCCCTTGAGGTCTTTATTGCCCAGATTAAAGGAAAGATTAGAAGAGCCATCAGTGCCGATTGGTTGTTATCTAGACCGTCCGCAAGGAAAGGGGTTGCATGGTTTAAGCGGACGTGGGCTAGATATAATGGCTTGGCAGCAGTATCTACAGACTCAGAGATGAATATTTGTGTCTGGCTCCTGGAGTAGCTGATTCCGGGCGCTTGCAGGAGAAGGCAGGTGACTGGAGTAGTTCGGAAGAGGTGGTTTTCTAGGTCTATGTCATATCTAAAATAAGCTCACTGTCCTCTTTCTTCTTTAAGTTCTGAGCCCGATCTAGCAGGCTTCATCATTTCACCTTACCTTTCCGTGGTCTATTTGGAACCAGCTTCCAACTCCTAGGGGAGAGAGGTTAGATGCAGACTGCTTAAAACAGGAGTTATAACTTGGGGCTGTAGTTGTTTACCTTGGCTTATGTGTTGTTCCTGGCCATCTCGGTGTCAAGAGAGGCCGCAGGTCCCCTAGACCTGTAAGCTAAGCTGACTGATGCTGTCAGATACTTCCGGGTTGAGTTGTGAGGTCCCCGGCCTCAAATTTGGTGTTTTGAATTTCATGTTCCATTGGGATTAAAAAAAAAAAAAACAAAAAAAAAAAAAACAAACAAACAAACAAACAAACAAACCAAACTAATGAATTGCTTGGGGCCGGTCAGCTCAATGATTATATCTCAAGGCCGTCGCCCTTTTTTTTCAAAAAAAAAGAACAGCTTTGTGCACTTCTAGCCGTTGGAAGTTTGGAAGTGGCAAAATCAGGCTGCCACGCATGTTTTTTTTTTTCTCTCTTGCGCCTGCGGCTTTTTTTTTTTTTTTTTTTTTTTTCCCCATGCCTGCTTATGCCACAGCAGGGCTGTCTACGCCACACCCCTGGTTGGGCCATGGCCGAGATGTCTTGGCCACGCCCATGGCTGGGCCACAGCCGAGATGTCTAGG